AGAGTTAGCATTCGACCCACAGTAATTATTAGCATTAGTCATTTTCCTTGTGCTTGGGTATTTGGTGACTAAACATACATAATGACCCTGTCTTTTTGTTCTTTAAATACAGCAGCTCCAGGTGGTTCCGTTGTTCGGGGACATGCAAATAGAACTGGCAAGATACATCAAAACCAGCGCCCACTATGAGGAAAATAAATCTCGGTAGGAGGAGAACAAAGCTGCCCAATTTGAGCTTTTTGCAATGTCCTTATTGTGTAGTTTTATGACACCCTACTTATTTATCTAGAGGTCACACTTTTAACATTCTCAACAGGCTGGAACTGAATGTCCAGTATGGTAGCCCTGACACATGTGGCTATTTACATTTAAATTCATTGAAAAAATGCAATTAAAAATTTAATTTCCTTAGTCCAGTAGTTAGTGGCTGCTGTCTTAGCACAGACAGAGAACGTTTCCATCATCCCAGGGATTTCTGTTGGACAGTGCTAATCAAGAATGTAGAAGAGTCCTCTGGGCCTGGTGTTGTGCTGGCAGATGCCTAGTAACAGTCCTGGTGGAGGGTGGATGTCTGCAGGTATAGCAACAGAGTTAACAGAACTGTTACCTGAAGGCCATATCAGCCCAGGCCTGTTTTTGTAGGGTCCCTCGAGCTGAGAATGGTCTTCACGTTTTTAAAAGGAAGGTTGTCTCAAAAAAAAAAAAAAGAGGATGACTATGTAACAGAGACAGAGTGGCCCACAAATCCTAAAATGTTCGCTATCTGGCCCTGAACAGAGAAAGTTGGCCAAACGCCGCTGTAAAGGATCTGTAGCTCACAATGAGAACTCACGATAAATACCCAGTAGTCTCTGTGGAAGAGTCCACACAGCCAGTTGAGGATCAGAGGATGCTCTCATTGACTTTTGCTGAGCTCTTGTACCTGTGACCAACCTGCAGTTGCCATTCCACCATGATTTTGACAAATGAACTTGCATCTCAGTCTTGGGTCAGCAAACTTTTTCTGTAAAGGCCAAACAGAAAACACTATAGGCTTTGCAGGCCACAGGGGGTCTCAGCTACAAATTCTTTTTTGTTTTCTTTTTTAAACAACCCTTTAAAAATGTAAAACCCATTGCGTGTGGCTCTGGCACCGTACCAAACATCCTTGGCTTCCCCAGCCGCTGCAATGCCTGAGCTTTATGCTGGTGCCTCGTCAGGTAACGCAGGCCTTTTCCCTCCACTGCCAGATGGATGTGCACGTCCTCAAGCAGCAGCCCGCAGTACAACATCTGCGAGCAGATGATCCAGATCCGCGAGGACCACATGCGCTTCATCTCTGAGCTGGCACGCTATAGCAACAGTGAGGTGCGTGCACCACCGCCATCGTGTGGGACCCGGGAGCCAGACGGGCACCTGAGTGTTCCTTGTATTGTTTCGCACCCAAAGATTAACTTTCATTGCTCTGAAGAACATAGTTGAGTACCAAATACAGTCATGCATCACTTAACGACAGGGACATGTTCTAAGAAGTGCGCTGTTTGGCAATTTCGTCATTGTGTGAACATCATAGTGTCCTTACACACCAGATGGTACAGCCTACTACACATCTAGGCTGGATGATACAGCCTGTTGCTCCCAGGCTGCAAACCTGCACAGCATGGTACTGTGCTTAATGCTGTAAGCAGTTGTAACACAATGGTATTTGTGTATCTAAGCATATCTAAATTAGAAAAAGTATAGTAAAAATATGGTATTATACTGTTACGGGACCACCGTTGTATATGCAGTATGTCAAGGCCCAAAGTGTCATCATGCGGTGCATGACTGTACTTAGATGGCACCCATTGTAATCGACGAGGCAGTGAAATTAGCATTGCCAGTGTCTGTACAAAAAGCTGTACAAAAAGCATCATCTTGTTTTCAGAAGAATATAATAGGGTTCCCAAAAGAAAGGATGGAGAAGAGATCATTAATTAAGTGGCATTTCCTGGTCTAGTCCCATGAGTCCAAGCAGCTAGAAAGAGGGCTGGTGAAAGGAGGATGTCAGGAAAGGGTGACTATGACCTGGGGCCCTTTTTATGTCTAGAAGGGAAGTCAGTCATGAGACCCGGGGTGAGCAGGAGCCTCTGGGTCCATGGCAGGGGATGGCCTTGGGGCAGTGGGTTGGGGTGTCCAGGAGGTGGGCATAGGAGGGAAGGGGCTTTCTCCTTAATTCCTTTCATCTTTGTAGCTGGGTTTGCTGTGTCCTCATTTTGGCCATTTCCATTCTCTCCTGCCCAGTGTGGCTCTGAGCCAGCACTGCTGGCATGTGACATAGACAGAAGGGTGGTGACAGCCTCTGGGTGGGTCTGACCTTAGAGGAGCAGCAGAAGGTCACTTCTCACATCTTAGCGGGCCAGGCAGTGAAGTCAGGGTCGTGCAGTGACAACTGGGTGTGCGTGCTGCAAATAGTCGGGAGAGATGGAGGGTCTTGGGGCATATACACAGGACTGGTTGGTTCTTGGAGGGTTGTAGGAGGACCAATAATGTTAGAGGGGACAACTCTGGACATTGACCACCCCCCCCCCATGCAGAATGATGAGCATCCCTGTCCCCCACCAACCAAACATCGGTCATGTAACCAAAATGACTGGAAAAGCCCACTAGTCCAAATGCCTCAAGGCATCTGCTGCCTCCAATGCAGACACCTGGCAGGTGTCTGGGCACATTGGACACTTGCCAGCTCCCCAGTGCTGAGGCCCCACCTCACTTCTGCTTCTGCAGCCAGCATGACCTTTGGGTAGAAATGCGGGGATCTGCCGCCCCTGAGTGCAGGACATGATTGTAAACTGAGTTCATGCGAAGCGCTTAAACAACAAGGAGGGCTGGTTTACACCCTTCTAAATAAGCACATTTACAGCATTCCTTTCCTGTCTTTCTCCCTTCTGGGGTCTGCTGTGGTACCTTTATAATAAGAGGATTATTTTAGCAAGGAAAAAATCTACCTTTGAATGCTTTGCCCAGTTTATTTTTTAACATATTTATGGAGATATAATTCACATACCATATAATTTACCCATTGAAATTGTACAGTTCAAAGGTTTTTGGTATATTCACTGAGTTGTGTAACCATCACCACAGTCCATTTTTGAACATTTCCATCACCACCCAAAAAACCCTTAACTCATTAGCAGTCACTCCCCATTCCCCCTCCCCAGGCCCTTTCATCCTTTTTCTGTGTGTACAGATGTGCCTGTTCTGGGCTTTTTGTATAAATGGACTCACACACCGTGTGGCCTTTTTGCGGCTGGCTTCGTTCACTCAGTATACTGTTTTCAAAGTTCATCCATGTTGTATGTTTCAGTACTTCATTTTTATGGCTGAATAATATTCTGTTATATGGGTACACTACATTTTATTTATCCATTCATCAGTTGATGGACATCTGGGTTATGAATAATGCTGCTGTGAACATCAGTAGACAAGTTTTTGGGCAGAATAAGTTTCCATCCCTCTCAGGTAAATACTTAAGAATGGAATTGCTGAGTTATAATGGTAACTCTATGCTTAACATTTTGAGGAATGGTCATACTGTTCTCAAGGTGGCTGCACCATGTTGCATTCCCATCAGGAGCGTTTGAGGGCTGATTTCTCTACATCTTCACCAACACTTGTTATCGTCTGTTTTTTGAATGTGAAGTGGTAGCTGGTGCGGTTTTGATTTGCATTTCCCTAATGACTAATGATGTTGAGCATCTTTTCAAGTGCTCATTGGCCAATTGTATATCTTCTTTGCAGAAATGTCCATTCGTAGCCTTTGCTGATTTTTTAACTGGGTTATTTGCCTTTTTTACTATTGAGTTGTGTGAATTTTTAACATAGTTTAGATACCAGCCGTGATCTGCTATATGACTTTCAGATATTTTCCCCTACCTGTTCTACGAGTTGTTTTTTTTTTTTGCTTTCTTGATGGCATCCTTTGAAGCACAGTTTTTAATTTTTGATTTCCAATTTTATATATTTTTGCTTTTGTTGCTTATACTTTTGGTGTCATACTGAAGAAATCATTGCCAAAGCCAAGGTTATAAGGATTTGCCCCTTGTTTTCTTCTAAGAGTTTTGTAGCTATAGCTCTTACATTTAGACCTACAATATATTTTAAGTTGATTTTTGCATATAGTGTGAGATAGGGGTCCCAGATTCATTTTTTTGTATATGAATATTCAGTTTTTGCAGCACTACTTGGTTGAAAAGACTGCTCTTTCCCTGTAAAGGCACACTCATCAAAAATTAATTGACTGTACTCATGAGGGTCTGTGTCTGAACTCTTAGTTCCATTTGTCTATACCACTCTCCTTATGTCAGTACTACACTGTTTTGATTACTGTAGCTTTGGAGTAAGATTGAAACTGGGGAGCATAAGAATTCCAACTATGTTCTTTTTCAAGGTTGTTTTCTCTTCTTTACCAAGACTATTTGTGGACCTCTTGAATTTTTATATAAATTAGAAGATCAACTTGTCAATTTCTGCAAAAAAAAAAAGGCAACTAGAATTTTGGTAGAGATTGTATTTAATCTGTAGGTCAGTTTGGGGAATATTGCTGCCTTAACAATATCGCGTCTTCCAGTCTACGAACCTGGGATGTCTTTTTTATTTATTTAGACCTTTACTTTCTTTCAACAATGTTTTGTCACTTTTAGAGTACAAATTTTGCACTTCTTTTGTTAAATTTATTCTTGAGTATTTTATTCCTTTTGATGCTATTATAAATAGAGTTATTTTATTTGTTTCATTTTTAGGTTGTTTGGTTAGGCTCTTTTGATGAGAGGGTAAGGATTTGTTTTGAGCTGGGACAGCAGCTGGATTTGAGTCCTTCAGAGAATGTCAGTGGTGTAGCCTACACAGGCCACTGAGGCCCCCCAGAGACCCTGCATCTGGTCACCTCCTGACAGTGACCAGCACCATGTTCTGGGAAATTTTTTGTTTTATTGTTTTGTTTTAACTTCCTGTTATGTAAATTTTCAAGCATAGAAGGGAAAGGGACCAATTGTGGCCTGGTACCATCTCAGGTACCATGTCAGCTCCCTCGCCAGCTCCTTCCATAGACTTCGTACTTTCATAGTTTGAGGCAAATCTGAGACAACGTAGCATTCCTTTTGAAAATATAATATTTTCCGTGTCTCCATAAGGGTTCTTTTAAAAGACAACCGTAGTATCATTATCATACCTGAAAACATCAAGTATCACTCAATGTTGAATAGCCGCTCATTGCTCGCATTTCCCTAGTTGACTCATGAGTGGTTTATTTTTTCAAGTTTGTTTGCCTCAGGATCCGAATAACATCCACACACTGCATTGGTTGGTATGTCTCCTAAGGTAGGGTCAGCCCTCCATCTCTTTCCCACTGATGGCATATATTGGGGCCTTTTGTACCCTGCCCTCCCAGTACATTGGTAGTGAGGTCCGGAGGCCCAATCAGACTCCACTTCTGTCCTCTCACCTGCCTTGGCCCCTCATGGGCCAACAACCTGGACTGCTAGAGGCACACAGTGGCCCTCTGTGTCTCTGTGACTCAGATTGTTCACTATCTAGACTCATGAATTCATCAGGGTTGCAGAATTATAACATTCTAGTTCTGTTTTTCCTTCGCAACTTCTTGAAGCAGCTCTGCCTTGTTCTGAGGTATAATTCCTTCAGGAGAAACAGAGTTATGGCTTGATTTCTGCTGCTTTATGTATCAGCTTTTAAAATACAGTCATGTGTTGCTTAATGATGGGGATACATTCTGAGAAATGTGTCCTGAGGCAGTCTTGTTGCGTGATCATGGTGGAGTGCACTTACACAAACCCAGACGGCACATCCTCCTACTGTCCTAGGCTGTGTGGGATAGCCTTTGCTCCTAGCCCACGCACCTGTACAGCATGAATACTGTAGGCACTTGGAACACAATGGTAAGTATCTGTGTATCTACACATAACTAAACATAGAAAATGTACTGTAAAAGTACATATAAAAGATTTTTTAAAAATGGTACACCTGTGTAGGGCACCTTACTATGAGTGGAGCTTATGGGACTGGAAGTTGCTCTGGGTGAGTCAGTCAGCAAGTGATGAGTGAACGTGAAGGTCTAGGACATTACTGTGCGCTACTGTAGACTTTATAAACACTATACGCTTAGGCTACATTCAATTTATTTAAATTTTTTTCATTAATAAATTAACATTAACTTACTGTAACTTTTTTACTGTGTCAACTTGTAAATTTTTTAACTTTTTGACTCTTGTAATAACAGCTTAAACACGTATAGCTATACAAAATATTTTCTTTCATATCCTTATTCTGTGAGTTTTTTCTATTTGAATTTTGTTGTGTTTTTTGTTGTTTGTTTATTTATTTACTTTTTCAACTTTTTTTGTTAAAAACTAAGACACACACACGTTAGCCTAGGCCTACACAGAGCCAGGATGATCAAGATGTCATTAGTTACGAGAATTTTTCAGCTGCAGTAATCTGTTGGGCCACCTTTGTACATGCATCCGTTGGAAGTGTCGTTATGTGGCGTGTGACTGTAATTGGTTCCCTAGCATCATCTAAGGTTACAAATTAAAGTTTTTGAGTACTGTTTTGAAGTGAATTCACTTCAAGTTTCTTCTTTTTCTTTTTTCTCATATGCTGAAAATTCTGTTTCTTAATGACCAGAATTTGACTTAGTTTGATTTGATTTAGGTCACAATCTTTAGTCTTAAAATGGCAATACCAGCACTACCAATTACAGTGACTAAGATTTGTTTTGCAGGTAGTTTTGTCTTTGAGTTTCTCCCTCCAAGGATGTTAAATCCAATCACAGTGTTTCAGAGTTACCTGGGGTGGCTCCTCTGAGTGGTCGTGATGAGAGCTGGATACCCAGTTCTGTCCATTATTTCATTTTGCTTTTGACTTTTAGGGATTGCTTTTCCTTCTGATTTAATTCTGTGTCCTAATTATATAAAATATTTACATAGTTCTAACATCACATCTATAAAAAAAAGAAGTATATTCAGAAAACCCTGCCTTCCCCTCCACCCTGCCCTCCCTCCCCATAGGTAACCATTTTTAAATTTAAGTGGTCATTATTCAGTATAAGCAAATGCACATGATTTGTGCGTTCTTCTTCATTAGTAAGTGGAAGCATAGGGTGCACTCCTCTCTCCTAACACCATGTCCTGGAGATTCCTCCAGGCAGTGGGCAGTGCCTTTTCCCCTTCCCAGAGGTGCCACAGGGTGCCCATGGATAGGGCTCTGCGGCCCACATCACCGCTGGCTTCGGGGAGGGTCTTGTGCCTATGTCATTTAGTATTTTTGTGCATGTGGCTTTGGGTGGGTTCCTAGGGTGGGTTGGAGGGAAAACGCATCTGTGGCTTTTCTCACGGTGCTGTGCCTGCCTGGCTACAGGTGGTCACGGGGTCGGGCCGCCAGGAGGCCCAGAAGACGGACTCGGAGTACCGCAAGCTCTTCGACCTGGCCCTGCAGGGCCTGCAGCTCCTGTCGCAGTGGAGCGCTCACGTGATGGAAGTGGTAGGTGCCGTGCCCAGGCGGTGTGGGAGCTCCAGGAGCTGAAAGGTTGCCACCCCTGGTTGGTTAGAAGTGATTTTCTTCCTAAACAAATGATATTTTTTCTGCATCAACTTTAGTCTTTGGGTTGAGAAGGAATCGGCTTTTTATCTTCCACCCTAGAAAGAAGAATATGTATCAGTATAAATGTTTCTAAGCTGACTCAAAATTCATTTCATTTATGTTTTATCAATAAAGGGCCTCACCTTTTAAAACATATTGATAGAATTAAATTTCTACCATTGTGACAGTCTTAAAATTCTCATTTTTAAACAACATTTTCTCTTTGGAGCTCCAGCTGTCGGTATCTTTTGTTGAATATTGGTAAAATTGTTTCTGATGCCACATAAAGATTTGGATACCTATAAGTGATAAAAGATTTTCCTTTCTGTGGTTTATTTTGATCAGGAAAAGTTATCAAATTGGAAAGACTACATGGTTATTTGAGAGGCAAATTCTTTTCTTAAATGGTGATGAAAAGCTTGGAGTCTTAGATGCTCAACACACAATAGCCAGGCCATTTTGCCTGGTGTGTTTCTTAAACCTGAAGTCACATGGCCCGGGGGTTTTGCCCTTTTATGGAGTTAGAGAGAGAGAGAGAGAGAGAGAGAGAGAGAGAGAGTGTGTGTGTGTGTGTGTGTGTGTATGTATGTATGTGTGCACACACGTGCACTTGTGCATGCATTTGTGTGACTTTCAGATTGCAGTAAATATTAGAAAGCTGACCTTTTGACTTTGGCCATTGTCATGTTAGTCAGACCAGATGTCAGGCATTTTGCATTCAATACGGAATGTCTCTGCTCTCTCTGACCACACCAGTATTCATGGAAACTCGTGCACCCCACTGACAAGTACTCCAACAAGGACTGCCCCGACAACGCTGAGGAGTATGAGCGTGCCACACGCTACAACTACACCAGCGAGGAGAAGTTTGCCTTGGTGGAGGTGAGGACATTTGTCTGCATTCTTGTGTGGCTCTGGTCTCACTCTGTCTTCCCTTCCAAAAGCAAAAGCAAAACTATGAACAAAACTGCCTAAGTTTTTTTTATTTCAATAGATTTAGGGGGTACAAGTGCAGTTTTGTTACATGGATGTGTTGTACAGTGGTGAAGCCTGGGCTTTTAGTGTACCCATCAGCAGACTAGTGTGCCTTGTACCCATTAGGTAAGTTTTCATCCCTCACCCTCCTCCCGCCTTTGAAGCCTCCTGTGATTGTCATTCTACTCTGCACCCCCATGTGTACCCACAGCTTGGCTCCCACTTACAATTGACAACATGTGATATTTGATTTTCGGTTCCTGAGTCACTTCACTTAGGATAATGGCCTCCAGTTTCATCCAAGTTCCTGCAAAAGACATTTGTTTCATTCTTTTTTGTGGCTAAGTAACAACTGCCTAACTTATGTTGTTGCTTCTCTGTAGGGCACCCTGTGCTTCTGTCAGAGTGGTCATAACACAATGAAATGGGTTAGAGAAATAGTGCTTGTGGGTGCCTGGGTCTGTGCTGACAGCTCTGTGTGGGCAGATGATCAACTCACTGACGAGCATCTGTGAGTGGAGAGCAGTTTCCCGGGTGCCGGGAGACCAGATGGGGCTCGTCCCTGCCATCTGAGAGAGAGAGAAGGGCCCCTGGCAGCCCCTGGCATTTTCCTCCTGTGGCCTCCACCTGCTGTTTGTTCTCACATGTGTGCAGCGGACCCTGCGCTCTCCTCATGGTGGACAGAAGTTCTTAATTCCGTCAGCCAGTTTCTTTCTTTCATAGTTGTGCTTTTTCTGTCTTGTTTAAGAAATCTTTGTATATTCTCAGGTCATAGAAATAATTCTCCTATATTGCCTTCTGGATATTTTTCCTTTCACATTGAGATCTGAAATTCACCCACAGTTTGTTTTATAAATGCTTCTGCCCCTTCCCTCCACAGCCCTGACCTTGCCACCTTTGGAGTAGATCAAGTGTAATAGGTGCATGTGTGGGTGTGTTTCTTCTCTGTTTTCATCCATGGGTCAGTTTGTCCTTCTCAAGACACCACTCCGTAGCTTTATAATAACTTATCATGTCTGGTAAAGCACATATTTCTGTCTTCAAGAGTTCCTTGCCTATTCTTTCCCTTTGTATTCATGTACATTTTAGAATCAGCTTTTTATATTCTACTGTGAAACCTGTTGGAATTTTTTATCAGGATATGAATAAACCTGTAGATCATAATAGGGAAAACTGACAGACTTCTAACCCAGTTGGCCCTCTGTATCCCTGGGTTTCACATGTGTGGAGTCAGCCAACTTTGGGTCCAAAATATTTTGGGGGGGAAAAATAGCAATAAAAAAATAAACAAAAGTAAAGAAAATACAGTAGAACAGCAATTTGTATAGCATTTGTATTTTGTTAGGTATTACTATGCAAGTAATCTAGAGATGATTTAAAGTATACAGGAAGATGTACATTGGTTATATGCAAATACTGTGCCACTTTATGTCAGTGATTGAGCATCTGTCTGCAGATTTCATTATCTGCGGGGAGTCCTGAATCAATCCCTTGCAGATATCAAGAGACAACTGTATTTGGTCTATTTTTTATTGATACAAAAAGCATATTAAATGTATATATTTTGGGGATACATGTGATAATTTGTTATATTCATATAATCAAATCAAGATAATTGGGATATCCATTAACTTAAATATTTATCTTTAGGAACATTTTGATTATTCTTTTCTAGCTATTTTGAAATGTACAATTGTTTAATGTTATTCTAGTCACCCTACTGATCCTAAGTCTTTTTCGAGTATGGTATATCCCTTCAATTGTTCAGATTCTCTTTAATTTCTCTTTCATAATCTGTGGAGAAATCTTCGACATCTTTTGTTACCTTTATTTATAGGTATTGGATATTATAGATAATATATTTAAACATTTTTCTAAATGTTAGTCACTGGTATTTAAAGTGTAAATTTTTAAAAGTCCTACTTATATAATCATAGCATCTGCAAATGATGATGGCTTTATTTCTTCCATCCTTGTGTTCTTTTTTTTTTTTTAATCACATGGGTAGGGTCTGTAGTTGTTAAACAGAAGAGAGGTACCAGACTTCCCTGTGTTGCTTCTCGTCTCACAGGGAAGCTTTCACGATTTTACCACGTGATACGTTTGCCGTAGGTTTATCTCAGCCACCCTTCATCAGGTTTAGGAAGTTGCCTTCTATTCCTAGTTTGCAAAGAGATTTTAACATGAATAGATATTAATTTTACTAAGTACTTTGCATCCATTGAAACACTCCTATGACTTTTTTATTCCATTAATGTGAATTCACATTGATTGGCTTTTTTATTTTTCCTTTTTTAAAAAATTGAGTTATTTAAGCTAGCCTTGCATTCTTGGTATAAATGCATCTTGATTATGCGATATATTCCTCTTTATATATTGCTGGATATAGTTTGCTAATATTTTGCTTAGAATTTTTCCATCGAAGTTAATGAGTGAGAGTAGACTTTAATATTATTTTTAGAGGCCGGGCATGGTGGCTCACACCTGTAATGCTAGCACTCTGGGAGGCCGAGGTGGGAGGATTGCTTGAGGTCAGGAGTTCAAGACCAGCCTGAGCAAGAGCAAGACCCCGTCTCTACAAAACATAGAAAAAATAAGCCAGGTGTGGTGGCATGCGCTTGTAGTCCCAGCGATTCCAGAGGCTGAGGCGGGAGGATCGCTTGAGCCCAGGAGTTGGAGGCTGCAGTGAGCTGTGATCACACCACTGCTCTCGAGCCTGGGTGACAGAACAAGACCTTATCTCTAAAAAAAAAAAAAAAAGAAAAGAAAAGATGCCACAATTATATCTTACTGGTGCTATTAAATGTTTTGCACCTGTGTTCTATAAATCAGTTACCTGCACAGCAAGTGGATTTGTGATAAATTCGTCTTGCTCTGTTTCACTTTTCAAAGAGATTGTCAGTCTCACACAGCTGTAGTGAAGTTGGCTACAGAAATGTTTACAAACTGCAAAAGCAATAAGGAAACTCATATGTAGTAACCATCATGTTTGGTTCATGCCCTTCAGTTTATTCAGAAAGTAATAAAGCACAGTGTAATTAACAAAATTACTGGCTGGAAACAGGAAAGTAATGAGCCAATGGCACCATTTTTCTGTCTGTCACATGAATTACTCTGGAAGCTCTTTGTTGTGTATTTACGTTTAAACAAAATCTTCTGAGCTTTTCCTATGCATGTTAATTCAGTGTGCTATTATTGTTTAACAAATGGGATTGGGGCTACAAACTCTCATGACTTCTTTTTTATTTAATAGTTAATATATTTGCTTTCCTGAATCTTTTTTCTTCTTTTCCATTTGGATTCCATCACGGGAGGGTGGGCCCATGTGGATGCAGGTGGGGTGTGTTTTGAGTCAGATGTGCTCCTGCCCTCCAGGCGCTCAGAGTCTGCTCTGGGGAGGAAGGCATCGGGGCAGCTGCCGGGGAGGGGGCGGTGCATGTGTCTGTGACACCCCTGAGAAGGCCGTCCACCGTGCCATGTCTCCCGCAGGTGATTGCCATGATCAAGGGCCTGCAGGTGTTGATGGGCAGGATGGAGAGCGTGTTCAATCATGCCATCCGGCACACCGTCTACGCCGCACTACAGGACTTTGCGCAGGTGACCCTCAGGGAGCCGCTGCGGCAGGCCATCAAGAAGAAGAAGAACGTCATCCAGAGGTCAGCCTTCTGCACACCCCCTGTGCCTGCCAGGTCCTCAAGGCCTGGGGTGAATGTGGGTTCAAACAATAGGAGCGTTACAGTTTTGTATATAGGTCCATTTCATTTATCTTCAACTTCCAGCACCCTTTTGGTGAATTTCCTCTAAATGTTAATACCGTGGGTCCAGTGGGTCCAGTTACTAATCAGAACAACCGAGGTGCATCCATTATAGAGTGTCTAAGGAGCCCGGAGACAGTATATCAAAATCCGCCTGTGGTTCCCATCACCGGGCCCCTAGGGACCGCGGCCCCACACTCTGTCCCCTCCCACAGTGTGTCCTCTTGAGTAATTTTGCTTTCATTTCTTCTGGCTCGTCCTACAGATCTATCAAAATTGGCATAGACATTGCAGAAATCCAGCAGGAGCAATCTTAAGCTTATTTTCTCTTAATGTTGATTCTTTTAGATCAAGTTGTCTTTCAAGGACATCTGTGTAAATTGAAGCTTACGGGTGTTCACAAATGTATGGACTTTATTTTCCTGCTTTCTAGTTGATGTATTGTTCACCCGGCATGGTATGACTTTTTAGCATTACTAACATTTTATACTGTGATGCTTTCCAGTTTAATTTCCATCACTTCGAGGGCTTAGTCGGGGTTTTTCTTCTCGAGTCTTGCCTGCCGTGCACGTGCTCGCCCCCACGGGGGGGACTGTCAGGTGCTCTGCAGTGTCCATATGCGTGCACGGGCGTCTTGCCTGACTTGGGAGGGGTATTCTGCAGACGGGATTTGTTTGAGGTACACCGGTATGGGAAAAAAGCTCTTGCCTTTGACAGGAAACAGAGCCCCAGCCGCAAAGCCCATGGATTGTGTAGCGTAGTCTCAGAGTTATTCAGGTTTTAGCCAGAACCTTCCCCCAAGGTGATCAGGGTGGGCCCAGGGTGCCTGTGGACCATGTGTGGCACCGTGGGGGTCTCTGCACAGTGCAGCCCAGTTGGTGATGGGGTCACGTTGCAAACGAGTCGAGATACATGCTCAGCGTCCTCGGTCATGTGGGCGACTTCCCATTCCTGTTGGGTCACGGGGACGCCCGGCTGCAGGCAGGTGGAACTCTGCTGTGCTCTGGGTGGGTGTTGTGGTCAGTCCTCTCCCCGCCCACAGTGGGACTCAGGGCCACCTTGCTGCAGAGAGGGTTCAGGAAATGAAACAGCACTTCAGGCTAACTGCTGCAAACTGCAGCTCAGTCACATCTTCTGAGACTAGCGATATTCTCAAGAAAACAATCTGTCTTAAAATTTCCTGTCCCTCCACTGCCCCAGAGAATTTATACATGTGAGTCAGCTGTTCAGAGAGCCTGTTAGTTAGGTGAGCGGATGCTATGATCATACAAGTTCCCAGGGTCTCAGCCCTCTGCCTCGCTGATAACTGGACGGGCCATTCAGTGTCCTGCAGGCCATCAGGAAGACCGTGTGTGACTGGGAGACAGGGCATGAGCCCTTCAACGACCCGGCACTGCGGGGCGAGAAGGACCCCAAGAGTGGCTTTGACATCAAAGTGCCGCGGCGCGCCGTGGGACCTTCCAGCACACAGGTTCTTGTCCCCACACCCTGCCCTGGCTTTGTTCCTGGGGTGGGCCTGCCCTGAAGGGGGACGGGCATGAAATGACGTCACCCTGTCTGCTTGGGCAAAGTGAGGTATTGCCTGTGGCTTTTCTGCTACTCCTGTTCCCTGCCCAAGTGAATCTGGAACATTAGCCAAGGCGTCCCTTGATTCTCTGATGTGTTCATTTGCGTTCAGAAGTGCATCTGACTCCATTTTAACTCCCGTCCCGAAAATATGGGTGAAAGCCTTCATGTACTGTGTTTCTTGATGGGCGTTTAAATGTCTGCTTCTGATTTTTACGTTGGGTCTGCAAATGATCATTCCCAAAGATAAAACGCTGGGAAATTATAAAATGTTGCTTTTGTGTGTCCTGGTCTTAAGCTGCCACCGCTATTCTCTCTCCTGGTGTGTTCAGGCCTTCCCCGAGCGCCCTGCACCGACTCCCATGCCTGATTTAATCCTTCCACTGCCTGTCTCCTCCCCACCTGGCACCTGGTGCTTCTTGCTCATCTCTCTGTTGGAGGCTTTATAGTTTCTCCTCCGGTCTTCCAGACGGTCACCAGCAAAGCACGTGGCTGGCTCCTTAGGAAACCTCTCCAAAGTCTGGGAGTGAGGCTCTGGCCTCTCCGCAGAGGACGGTCCCCCGGGCCTGTGGGGGGTACTTGCCACCTCCCTGCCTCCGTTCATGCGTTTGTCCCCGTGTCCCTGCCCGGGCGTGTGTGTCCTGTGACTAACGGCTCTTCCCCACCTCTCCCCCGTCTGTCTGTGTCTAGCTCTACCTGGTGCGCACCATGGCCGAGTCCTTGAGCTCTGCCGAGCTGCTGAGGCAGCTCAAGTCTCTGGGCATGGAAAGGCTCTTGCATGTGGTAAACGCGTTTCTGAGGCAGTCGTACACCTACCCACCTCTTTTAACCTTTGGTGGTAAGACATCGTTTGTTTTTCTTGTTGACGTTTACGGCACGGAGGCGAACTGCTCCGCTACAAAAGTTCTTTCCCCCAAACAGCAGCAACGTGGCCACTTAGGTGGGTGCCAGATCTCGGGGGGCCAGCACGGCGTGGGCCGGGGCCTGGCTCTGGCCAGGGCATAGCGGAGCAGTCCTTCTCTTACTGTTTTCCTGAGTTTGGCGTAACTAATGCACCGTGTATATTTTCTCCCCCACAAATGTTTCCTTGGATAATCCAGCTTTACATGGTGAGAACCATGCTAGAGTCCCTCATTGCAGACAAAAGTGGTTCCAAGAAAACCTTGAGAAGTAGCCTTGAGGGGCCCACCATATTGGACATAGAAAAATTTCATCGAGAGTCATTCTTCTACACCCACTTGATAAATTTCAGTGGTAAGAGATACTGCTGACCAGCGCCCGGCCCAGCATGTCCTAACACCACTAACACCATCTAGAATGCTTCTGCCTGCCTGACCGTCCCCTGCCCCCATCCCTGGTGCACCCAGAGGGTGATGTGTCCTGCTGCTGTGGCCTCACTGTCCCTGGCCTCGGCTCCCCCCACAGGGTGTGGCCCTTACAAGGGTTAAGGCCAAGGGGCCAGAGCAGACCCTGCAACATAAACACAGTCTTTCCAACCTACATGGGCTCAGAAACACAAGGGAATGCGATGCGTTGCCTGGATTGAGACCCATGCGTTGATAAATATCAGAAACCGCCCTGTGGGTGGTGACGTGGGGGAAGGTAGCAGGTGCCTGGAGCAGGTGAGCCCCTTCCTGGGTGGTGCCTGGGCCCCAGCAGGTGCACTTTCCGCCCTCCGTGTGTCTGCCTGTGTCCTCCTCGAGTGTCCACGCCCGCTGTGGTGCCCACCTCTAGCTCAGAGCAGAAGCCTCACCGTCCTGGCTGGCTGCTGCAGGTGTTGGAGTAAACAGCGATGCTTTTGCTGTTAACCCTGTGAAAGGATGGAGATTTTGTTTTTTAATCTGTCTCTATTTTTGCATTAGCTAGACGTCCCCTGAGTGTACATGTAATGCTGCATCCTGGACATTGGTTTTTACCCAAGTAAAAGTAGAGCCATCCTGTTTTCATTTCTTCTTGCAAAAAGGATATTTACCCCCAAGCCCGCCAAGGGGCTCACAGGGCTGACGAGGCCCCTGTTGGCGGGCAGACACTGACTGCTTAGAATGTGCAGGGTCCAGGTGGCTTCACTTGCAGCCACACCTAGCTGGTCATGGCTCTGGAGACCCCTCCCTGCTCTTGTCACACTGCATGGTTTGGGGCTGAGTGAGGAGAAGCCGGCACCCATCACGCAGCCCCTCTTGTATCATCTCTGCTGAATCTTTTTCTGCTTGCGGAAGGTAACCCGCTGTTGTTTGAATCCTCCAAGAAACGCTGCAGCAGTGCTGTGACCTTTCGCAGTTGTGGTTCCGAGAGTTCTTCCTGGAGCTGACCATGGGCAGGAGGATCCAGTTTCCCATCGAGATGTCGATGCCCTGGATCCTGACGGATCACATCCTGGAGACCAAGGAGGCATCGATGATGGAGTGAGCGTCCTGTGGGCCCTGTGTTCGTGATGGCTGGGGCTTCTCCGGGGAGGTGGAGGAGGGAGCCTAGACTGTTTCCAGCACTTCCTTTGAAATCATGTTTCCTGGGTTGAGCTTTGGAGAGTGGTGTAAGGAACCAGTTTCTTGGCTTCAGACTGAAATGAGGAGCTCAGGTACTAGAGCTGGTCAGGTTCCTGTTCTGCCTGGGTGTTGGGCAGGGCCCTGGGACCAGCCTGGATCCGGGAGACCAGACAAGTCTGGGCCTTCTCCAGGCCTTTCCGGTGCAGGCCCTGGGAGGTGTGGCCGTGCCCAGGGCACTGGGGCTACAGGGGAGGAGCCCTCTTGTGTGGCACAGCCTCTGACCCTGATGAAACTAGGAAAGGAAGCATTAACTGAGCAGCTTTGTTTTGGAGGGTTGGGACTCTGAGCCGGGGTAGAGGGATCAGTCTTCCAAAATATGAAGTCCGTGGAAGAGAAAGCAATTAAAACAGGGTTATCTTGTGGGGAACATCTGGGGGGCAGCCCAGTGGTCCTTCCTAGCACCACAAATGGGGAACACCTGTGTTCTTTGTGCATCAGTGCTCACGGGTCCCTTGTAGCATCCAGGGGACAAACAGGACAATCGCCTTCCACTGTGTGGAGGCCTGTGTGAGGAGCTGGAGCCAGTTTGGCTCCTCTTCCTGGGGTGGGCTTCCTGCCGCCTGGCCCCGCCTGCTCACACAGCTTCTCCCGCTGCTGTCACGCTGTCGGCCTCCTGAGGCCTCTGGCTGCTGCGTTTTGTCCAGACATGAGCTGGGGGAGATGGGTTTTCAGACACAGGCCCAACACCGGAGGTGCTTGTGGTCAGCTGTTTAAATCAGACAGTTTATCCTTAAAATAAGAAAATAACTCAGTTTTGTTGTTAAAAAAAAAAATACCACGTACTTGTGGTGAAATATTTTAAAGCCTGGTAAGTGATAAGGCAGGTAGATGGAGGCCCTCGTCTGTGCATGGCCTTTGAGTGAGCTTGTCCCTCCCATGGGGTCCTCGCTCATCTCCCCAGCCTGTCGGGTGCAATGGTGGCCTCCGGTGCAGCCACCAGGGGAGAGTGCACCACAGGAGAGTTTGGTGTTTGGAGTAAAAATAGATTTTCCTTTCATGAGAGGGAAAAACGAGAGTTAAATGTCTTGTGGAGTTGGAGGCTATTGGAGCCGGGAGTCTGTGGAGTGGGAGCCGGGTGGTGACTGCTGCCACCCTCTGCAGGTACGTCCTCTACTCCCTGGACCTGTACAATGACAGCGCCCACTATGCGCTCACCAGGTTCAACAAGCAGTTCCTGTACGACGAAATCGAGGCAGAGGTGAGGGCCTAAGCGTCCATTCCTTTTCATCTCCTTTAATTCAGTTTCCTTCTTAATTTCTTTTTCCTTTGAGTATTAAAGGAATTACTTTTTGTTTAGAATACAAGGCAGTGTAAACGTGAAGCAGCGTTTCGGTGTGAGCCCCCTTGTCTACACTCCCCTCTGTCGCTACAACCTCTTCACATGACAGCTGTCATAAGCAGTTTCTGTGTCTTCACCCTGTTTTCTGTTAGGAACATGATCTTTGCACTGAACCAACCCATTAAGTCTCTAGTTTTTGGTTTTGGTTATTATAAATAGTATTTCGACGCTCTTCCTGACACATCATTTTTTATTTGCATTGGATTATTTCTTGAGGCCAAATTCCCACAGATGGAATTCTCAGGTCAGTGTACGCATAGCTAAGGAGAGAAATCTTATTCTCTAGGATACGAGAGAATTTAACCTGAACAAATTGCTTCGTGCATCTGGGCCACCTCCACCCCCTCACGAAGACCACCCAAAAGCAGTTCCTCAGGGAGGTCTCACGAGTCCCTAGACAATGCAGGGTGGGTGGAGGCAGAGACACCCCTCCTGTCTCTGTCTGCCAGGCCCCTGGGTCCCGGGTCCTGCTTGCCTCTGGACACAGGTGTCCTTATTGGGGGGCTGGCATGCTAGCCCCATCTGCAAGCAGGAGTCTGGGTTTCGGGGGTGTCTCCTGACTGACCTTGTACCCAGAGCATCCAGAACAGCCCAACCTGCTCTAGGGGAAGCCCGGGAGGTGCTCTGGCGGTGGCTCCTGGGAGGCACAGCTGGCGGCAGGAGCTGCCCCTGGGTGGGGACCCAGGTGCAGCGCACATGAGCCACCTGGAGCACGTGGTGAGGGAAGACTTTTTTATATTCCCTTGCATTTAACCGCATAGGAACATGTTTCTCTCTCAGTAAGAATGGTTCTGGCATAGTTTTCAATATCTGCGTGGTGGTCACTTTGGCCACACCATAATCGTGCTATTGTTGGACGGTAAGATAGTTTCTAGTTTCTTTTTTCTAATAAGAGCCTCAGTTAGCTGCCTTAGCAAAAAGCTTGTGATTTTCAAGTTGTGTTATTTAATCTTGGTTTAGGGACACAGTCTCTAACGTGTACTTTCTTCGTCCACAGGTGAATCTATGTTTTGACCAATTTGTTTACAAGCTAGCAGACCAGATATTTGCATATTATAAGGTTATGGCAGGAAGGTGAGTATGAGTGTCTGTGTGTGAGTTTGATACAAAATCTTGGATAATTTAATCTGATGTTTCTGTTAAAATTTGCAATCTGTGAAAAACGTCCTGTCTTCCTTCTGTACTAGTTTGCTTCT